TAAAAAAAGGGAGGGAGGGGGGGGAGGAGAAATGGAAATTAATTAGACAAAATAAGATTAAAAACAAGAATGAAAAGCGGAAATCAAACAGGAAAAGAGAAAAGAAATGAATAGAGAAGTAAAAAGGAAAAGGGTAAGAAAATGGGAAGAGGAAAGGAAAAGGTAAAAGGAAGGAAAATGGAAAGAGGGGAAAACAAAGAAAAAAGGGAAGGGAAGGGAAGGGAAACAGATAAGGGTAATGAAAAGGAAACTGAAGGAGATGATATGGGAAGTGAAAAAGGAATTGAAAAGGAAAAAATAGAGGAAAATGTAAAAGAAAGAGAACAAGAAATTTCAAGGAAAATAGGCAAAGAGAACAGATAAAAAAAGGGGAAAGAGAAAAGATCAAATAAAAAGTTAAAGAAAAGGGAAAAAGACAAAAAACCAGTGGAGCACACTGTGAATAGAGAATAACAGAATGGGAGGAATATCCAGAGGAGCGCAGAGACAGAAAGGGGCAGAGGAATTGGGCCCCATAGGGCGGCGCTACCTTGTTCCACCAGCCCTGCTGTGGTGCCTGCAGCCGCGGCTACTGCAGCCGCAGCCACAGTGACCGAGGCGGGAGCCGTGGTCTGCCTGCTACCCACTAACACACACAGGAGTGTGTACGTCCATACACACACATACCCACCCACACACAATCACAAACAAAATGAGAGGGAGGAACAAAAAGAGAGAGAGAGGAAAGAGGAAAGGGGGCAGAGTGAAAGAGAACCATTCATTAGTCTACGAGAGAAGAAACTGTCAGTTATAAGAACACGTTAAACCAATTTTCTTCTTTTATTTTTTTTTTCTTTGAAAGACAGGTGGCTCATAACAAAACGATCCCCACTCAAACAAGAGCCATATTTTCACTACAACCAACGTACAACAAAGACAAGACTCTGACCCAGAGGGAATCATCCCTCCTAACATTCAAAACCACATATATTTATCAATGTCCTTTGTTGGACCATCATCTGAAGCGGTTACAAGCAGAGCCCTGGCATCACAGATGAGTTCAAAAGGCAGAAAGTGCTGCGATAACTGCTTGAATTTTCATTAAGGATGCAGTCAAATAAAAGAGAATTGACGGAGAGAGACAGTAAATTACACGAAATGCATGTTATCTTGTATTATGCATGATATCTGTGAGGTCAGAGCTAAGATGCAACTGCAAGATGGAGAGGAAAAGGTTGTATGTAAGTGGTGGGCAGAAAGTAAATATATACAGAGAGTGGTCCCAAAAAGTATGTGGACACTTAAACCACACTTACAAATGTATCAATGCCATCACATTAGATATTGACCCAAGCGGCATTTATAAGTGGTAATTTGTTTAAAATGATTAATGATATTTAAGTTGTAGTTCACAAATTTTTTTAAAATTCTGTCATAATTTACTCACCATCAAGTTGTTGTATTACCTGTATGACTTTTACCTGTATGACATTTTGAAGAAAAATAGTTTTGGGTCCATACAATTGAAGTCGATGTGCTCTAATGTAGACTGGTTCCCATCTTAGTTCTGAGAAACACTCTAGCCAGTCTCACCAGGATTTCACTTTTTTTCTCTCTTTTTTTGTAATTTTTGCATTTAAAATGACTGATTTTGTGGCAGTAATTTCCAGAAATTTGCAGAAACCCTGCATTTTTTTTAAAAATTAGGACAGATTTACCACATTATGTATTATGTACATGACAGAAAAAAATATTGTTACCAAATTATGATACAAAACTTTTAATCAAGATAATTATTTTTAAACAGAAACAAAGAAGCAAATTACAAACAATAGGACAAAGATACAAATGAAATGCAGAGTACTTGAAGTTTTTCACATAAGTTTAATAATCAAGTATTCAGAAATGGAATAATCAAATGTAATTTTTTTAACTTTATTTTCTTATTCATGCATGTTTCTCGATGACACTACTATGTCAATAAAATTAAGTAGCACTGAGTTTTTTGTGATTATTTTGGGGTTAAATGGCTTATTATGCAGGATCATCAAAATGTAATTTTGTTGATTCTGCAATAGTAGACTCTCTAGCATGATTTGTTTTTTAGGTACCATTTGGCTTGATATCTAATGCAATAACATTATAACACTTTAAGTACAACTTAAGGGGCACAAAATCGGTGTATAAATATATAAACCCTGTGTAGCCCAAATCTTGCCCAAAGGACATTTTTAATGAGAGCAAGAGGCTTAAAGTATTTATTTGACAGACAACAGACAACAAAGCACATTAAGGCGGAGTGGGGATCTAAAAGACACAGACATATGGCCCTGGAGAACCATAAGAACATACACAGAACAGACCAATCAGAAAACACACATATTCGTCAACTCAGCTGTCAATCAAAACAGTTCAAAGGTTAATTCGCAGCTTCATCACACCCGAATAACTTACCAGAGAAGTTCCGTGACACAAGCATGGTGGTGAGGATGGCCCCCTGTGAGGACAAAGAGGAAATATAACCTGTGTGTGTTTAAAATTAGAATTGATTGAGCATGTGTGTGTGACTTCCGACTGCAGAATGTTTCTAAATAAAGGACGCAGGGGAAAAAAACTATGTTTGTCTTCACTGGTAATAAGAGTGCGTGTGCGTGTGCGTGTTTTCCTCCCAACTGACCCAGATTATCTATCCTCATTATTCTCTGTCACTGAAGGATGCTAATAATGTGTTATCCCCTCTAGTGCCTCCTGATGCTTCCGCTAGCACACACAAGACATAATCTTATAAATCATAGTGCTAGCAACTCTGATCTATAAGGGCAGGCTAGATATTCATGTTCTTAACATAAAACCCGCGCACATTTTAAGTGTGCATAATCAACCTAACCCAACCCAAATCCGATTCTGTGAGATATTAGTTGAATGGTGGGTTTGGTTGAACTTTCCGACTGCAGAATGTTTCTAAATAAAGGACGCAGGGGAAAAATAAAAGTACACAATACAAAGTGCATTTTGAAGAAAACCTGCAGATAAATGTGTATTTATAAAGTGACATTACAGATATAAGTCACAATCAAACCACTTATACATGCATACAAGACATACAAACAAGCAAACCACATTAAGAACAATTTACAAGATTATTATCGACAGATAAACATGCAGCATGCATTCTGAAGCGGTGTTGGTCCAGCAGTCATAGGAGCTTTTTGGCAGTTACGATAAGCATCCTAGGCTAATTTCTGGCCAGTTCGCACTCTAATCCAACTGCAAAGCATGCCAGGTAACGTGACAGTATAGCTGAATTATGTCTAGGAACAACACTTCCCAGAAGCACACTGCGTTTTAGAGAAGGTCAAAGGTCAGAAGGGAGCAGTCAAATGGCATTGCAGTGCACTCAAACCTGAACATGGTGACTGGTCTGAGACTGGGACCTTGATGTCTACACTGACTCTCTGGTCAATAAAAGCAATCTAGATAAGAGTTACATTGTCATAGTTAATAAAATTTGGTCTATTTTTATTTATATTATTATATAATAATAATTGCATAAGTCATTTTAGTGGGGGCACTGTTGAAGTGCAAAAGAGACATTTGTCTTGATCAATAAACTAAAATCAATGTAGCTCTTTAAGTCAGTCCAATTAGCTCAGTCTTACCTGTACAGTCATGAAAGTGAATTTATTACCAGCAATGGCCAAACACAGCAACACTCAAGCATGCACGCCATGCACTATCACTGTGTGAAATCGGACTGACCTCCCATGCATTTCTGAATCTTTTTTCCACCCATTTTCGCAGGGGGACCAAGAGTTCCTATCAGCAATTATGTCAGTCCCCTTCAAATCGACACAGCAGTAGGCACAGATTTCCACATAGCAAGTTTATGAGCACATACACAAGTTCACACACATCACAATCGTCACTTACCTTCAGGTCTCGGTGCACCACGCCCATTTGATGGCAGTGAAGCACCGCCTCCAGGATCTGCTGGATGCAGTGACTGCATGCAAACAGCAGGGGGCGGAGGTTAGTCTGAGCAGCGCTACAGTCCCGTGCACAGGCCAGGGGTGAGGGGTATTTGGGGCAGGTAAAAATTTAAAAGGGAACGGGAAGGGTATCTCTCTCTAGACTCAAGCCTTGCCTCCATGTAGCTAAATATTAGCATACAATAACTGAAATAATAATAATAAAAAATAAATAAAAAAAACACTTAAACAGTTGCAAAACCGCAAGTTGATTTCAATAGTTAGAATGCAAAACATCCCCTCAGAACTGAAAACTTGTTTAATATAAATTGATTCAATTGTGATCTATTTAAATTTGGGTACAATATTAACATTATTATATGGAGGCAATGCTTTGCATCTTTTGAGTTTCCTTTTATTTTCTTATGCCAACATATGTAGGACCTGTCCCATAAAATTACCGCAAAATATAACAGGTACCAAAATACCTTTTTTTGGATACAGTAAGGTTATTACGATTCTGTGTAAAAGTGGTAAACAGATAATAGATTCAAATATTTACGAATCCAGTGTAAGTTTCCTATTGCTTTTCCACATATTATTGTGTATGAACAGCTTTAAACTTTAGTTTCAAATAATAATAATAAGCCTCAAGGAAGCCTATTTTTTCTTGAAGGCAAAAATCTTCTCATGAACTGCTCACCGAATGGATCTGATATCAACTAAAAAGCCAAAAGAATGCAACACAACTGCATTTACATACACTGCCATTCAAACGTTTTATTTTTTTTTAAAGAGATTAATACTTTTATTTAGCAAGGACACATTGCAAGTGACAGTCAAGACTTGTACATTGTTACAAAAGATTTCTATTTTAAATAAATGCCCATTTTTACTTTCTATTCATCAAAGAATCCAGAAAAACGTATCATGGTTTCCACAAAAATATTAAGCCACACAACTGTTGTCAACTTTGATAAAAATAAGAAATGTTTCTTGAGCACCAAATCAGCATTTTAGGATGATTTCTGAAGGATTATGTGACACTGAAGGCTGGAGTAATGGCTGCTGAAAATCCAGCGTCTATTGGAAAATGGCAGCTTGATTCTGCTAATTGCTGCTTGCAGCTCTACTCTTCTCCTCTTCCCTAGGCCAGTAAAATAGGGTTTTGGAAATTAAACCGAGAAGAAAACCATACAGAGTACCACAGCTGTATCTCTATGCTGCCTTTGATAAATATAGTGTCATGAGAGTGTAATGTGATTGCGGTTTGAGTTTAGGCTGTTTTCATTTTTCTTAAGCAACAAATCAGAATCATTTCTGAAGGATCATTTGACACTGAAGACTGGAGTAATGGCCGCTGAATATTCAGTTTTGCCATCACATGAATAAATTACATTTTAAAATATATTCAAATATAAAACAGTTATTTGAAATTGTAATATTAGTATCAGAGACTTTTCAAAAACAATTAAAAAATCTGACCCAAATTTTTTAATTGTAGTGTAGGCAATAATTTCATTAGAATTAATAATTACAAGTTTTATTATACCGTTATAGCTGTGATTATTATTATCCATGTGCAGTGTGCACTGCATGAGTTTACGGGCATGTGTGTAAAGATAAGGCATGGCAGTTAAGTTCAGAGCTGTAAATTAAAGTATTGCATTTGCTCTCTAAATGTCTCCCATTAAAAGACCACGGAGCATGACATATGGTCACGGCAAGCGTAAGACATTTCTGAATAAAGCCATTTCTGAGAGTGAATCTGTCGGTTTACTCTGCCGTTAAATATATGAATGCATATAGGGACATTTATATATTTAAAAGCATGTAAGGTTTTGTGCATTCATCATAGTGTGTGCGTGTGTGTGTGTTTCTTCACACCTCCCCCAGTGTCAGCTGCTGATCATGGCTGGTCTGCAAGAGAAGATGTGTGTATGACTGTGTGATTTTGTGTGCATGTGTAGGGGTGAGACAGGAAGTGTCACTGTGTTTCAGCACAAAATCTCCATTTGAAAGAACGGCTGTGGACATTAAAATGTCTAAAAATGTACTGAAACTCACTGTGCTGCCTTCTCTAATATTATCTTTATTCCCTGTACTCACATTACTAAATATTACAGTATTCGAGTCTCTTCTTCCACCCTTCATAAGGTAGAGAAGCAATTTAACCACTAACTTTTGCAAGAATCTTCACTGAGAAGTAAAATTACAAATCTACAAATACTGTATCTGTGAAGAGACAGTAAAACCTACTATTGTCTGAAATAAGATAATGATTGGCAGTTCATAATACTGTTGATACTAACTAGTAGAACATACACTTCTCAAAGTAATAACAGAGTAATGACAATAATATAGTTTGTTGAAACATTATTTTTAAGGAATATTACGTAACATTATACAATTTGTCGCCCATGTTTTAATGTTTTAGCCATTGTTGTGCAGCACTTTGTTTGCCAAAAAATTAATTATATTTAAAAGATTAATTAAATTAATAAAGTTTTTCATAATAAATTTGCGTTAAATCATAAAACACAGAATCCAGAAAAATTTAAATGGACAACAATTTCTGGAAAAAATTAAACATTTCATAGGGCCATATTATTGTAAAAATAAATAAATAGATAAATTATTAAATTATTAAAACAGTTAAATGTTCAGACATGCATTTGATTAAAATTTATTAAATGATTAAAATTTAATTAAACCTTTAAAATAGGATCCTATTACAACAAAAAACTGTTTGTCCAGTGTTTTTGACATAGACAACATGGTACATCGCTTTAACTTATAGTAATTTAAGGATGTTAATACAAAAAAACGCCATAATACTATAGCCTAAATATTCATTGAAATTAGAGGTCGACCGATAGTGGATTTTGCCGATACCGATAGCTAGGTTGGACCACACTGGCCGATACCGATTAATTAACCGATAGTTTTAAAATTGATACTAGTAAATAGTGCTTTATTAACAAATACAGTACTGAACCATACTAGTAGTAAAAAAAAAAAAATAGTAATAGCAAATGTTGAAAATAACACTCTAACAAGGAACAATACTTACACAGCTTTCATTAATCTTATTACTCTTATTTTAAAGTGTTACCATTTCATTTCAACTGTCATGCTTAAAGATGCACATCTTTAAATATATACACAAAGGCTATAGCATTAAAATGATATACATATGGATATACTTTACTCACACTTTAACTTCTTCTATTCTTGAACACTTGATGATTATCTAATCAAAATAAAAGCGCAGCTCTGAGTCTAGGAGAACTCACCGGTATCACACACACTCCGGACGCGTCGCGTTCAACTCGAGCAACAGTCTAAAACAGTTTATTTAATCACCAAACGGACACAAGTTTACTTCAATAATGAACAATTTGGCATAGATGAGTTTGAAGTTTGGTGTTTAAAAAAGGGAGCAAACGGAAAGAGAAAGCGCAACCTTTATTATAGCTCTATAAATGAAGCACACAGACTTTATTAGAGCCATAGAAAGACAAACGTTTAGCTGAAAATGCACAATACACAATTCATTATGTACATTAACAATGATTGCGCTGAGTCTAGGAGAACTCACCGGTATCACACACACTCCGGACGTGTCGCGTTCAACTCGAGCAACAGTCTAAAACAGTTTATTTAATCACCAAACGGACACAAGTTTACTTCAATAATGAACAATTTGGCATAGATGAGTTTGAAGTTTGGTGTTTAAAAAAGGAAGCAAACGGAAAGAGAAAGCGCAACCTTTATTATAGCTCTATAAATGAAGCACACAGACTTTACTGAAAATGCATCTTTAAATATTCATTATGTACATTAACAATGATTCGGGACCAATATAATGTAATTTAAAGGAAAACTATGTGAATGGCGCTCTGTGGCGCGGCAGGATTTTCTGTCGGCTGCATTTAAATCCACGTCTGAAGTTTCCCGCTCTGTTCAGCGTGCAGTATCACGTGTCTAAACAAATAGCATGTGCTGTCAGTGATTTCAACCACTAGAGGTCGCTCTCGCACTGTGTAATGACAGCAGACCCTTCTCAGCTGCTCCAGCAATGGACGCAACCTGGAAAACTCCAACAATCAACTATTGGTGCCGATTAATCGGCAAAACCGATACATTGGTCGACCTCTAATTGAAATATAATTTAAGGCATAGTTCTTATCATTTACTCATCCTTATGTCATTCCAAACCTATTTGGCTTACTGTCTTCTGTGGACATGCAAAAAATGCATACAGGTTTGTAACAAGATGAGGATGAGTAAATAATGACAAAATTTTTCTTTTTGAGTGGATTATCCCTTTAAAAGTAATAGTCGAGGGAGCAATAAAAAAGAAAAACCTCACAAGCAAAAAATATCCACAAGTTCTGATCATCTGCATGATGGCATCAAGCGTAGGAAGTAAGGATTTGGGAATTTTGGGAAGGCAGTCAATGGATTAGGGGAAGCCCATGATGCCAAACACAGACGGACAGACAGACAAGACAGACAGACAGACAGGCTACAGCTACAGACACACAGACAGGAGCAAGCAGGGGCAAACAGACAGGCTATATACAGGCAGTGTGTGAGCTACATACTGACCTTAAGGTCCCTGTGCACTATGTCATGTTGGTGAATATGATGGACACTGTCTAGAATCTGATGGATACAGTGACTGTGAAGACAAAACGGAAGAAAAGAAAAAGAAGAGGGGGAGGGAGAGAGGGAGGAAGGGAATGAGAGGTGAAGGGGGAGATGTGAGGATGGATAGAGTGAAATCAAACGATTGATGGAGTGATGGCAGCGCAGTGAACAAAAGCAGTGGAGATGATAAGAGAAAACAAGGTTGAATCGATACACAAGAGAAGGGAGGAGTGACGTATACAGGAGTGACGTATAAAAGAGGGAGAAGGAGGGAGGAATTAAAAGGAGAGAGGGAAGTGAATGTTGGAGGTGAAGAGACAGAACCATTTAGACATGAAACACACAACTGTCAACAATAAGAACAACATCAGAGAGAGAAGGAAAGAGAGAGAGTAGGAGAGGGGAGGTGAGGTGAGGTGGGGAGGAACAGGTGTAGTGAGTAAATGTCTGTGTGTGTGTGTGGATTTTTCCATACATTTCTGCCATATGTACATTAACTGATGGTCACCACTGATAAGCTACCACTAAATATTGTAGAAATTTAATTTGCTTTGCAATGATTTGTTTCGTAAAAAGCGCTATACAAAGACAGCTGAATTGAAAATTTATTTATATATATATATATAAATATATATATATATATACAGTATATATGCCTGACCCAAATCATAATAGCTATCCAGTGAGACAAAAATACAAACTTTCTCACAAGTTTAATAATTGATATGTATGTTTTTGTCTTCCTGTTCTAGTACTTTTAACATTTCTACCTACTCTAGTAGATTTTAACATTTTGAGAAAAAACTGATCCAACACTATGTCCTAACCTGACACAATATGCCAAGTTTTAATGTATGGTTATTAATGTATGGTTATGACAGGACTGTCATTTCACAGAGATTTCGCAGTCGGCGGGGACAACCAGCACAATGCTACAGAAATAAAAAGTAATCAATGTAATAACCTTACACTTGTCACCTGTCGACCACGGTCATGTCTGGTTAGGACAAAAACTTAGAATTTATAGGAAGAGATTTTAATCACTTGTTTCGTTAACACATCATGTTATCACAATTTACGTTATCATATATTTTTCTAAATCTAAACCTTAAAGGCCGTATACAGTGGGTACAGAAAATAATCACTCCCCTTTAAAATAATCACATTTTGTTGCTTTGCAGCCTGAAATGAAGCTGTATTTACTCAGTGCAACATATAACATCCAAGTAAAAGATAAAACAACAACATATCAGAAAAAAAACACAGAATCACTGAGTTGGAAAAAGGATCACCCCCTTGTGTCAGTATTTTGTTGAACCAGCTTTTGCTTTATTACAGCCTTTAGTTTGTTGGGATATGTCTCTGTCTCTACTAACTTTGCACATATAGACTTTGCAATATTTGCTCACTCTTCTTTGCAAAACTGCCAGTAGCCTCTCACTGCAGAACACAAGATCCAGGGGGCGTGGTTGGAGCCACATTTAGGGGGTGGAGATGGGTGGGTTTAGGGATCAGGGGGTGGAGACGGGTAGGTTTAGGTACAGGTAAGGTGGGAGGAGTTGGATCTGGATCCAACCACGCCCCCTGGATCTTGTTTTCTGCAGTGAGGACCATCTCAGAACTGCTGAAGTTCAGTTCAATTTGATGGTGACCGTTTGTGGACTGCAGTCTTCAAGTCATTCCACATATTTTTTTAAGTCCGGGCTCTGACTAGGCCATGCAAGGACATTCAGCTTTTTTCTCCTTTATCCACTGTGTGGTCAGTTTTGCTGTGCGTTTTGGGTCATTGTCATGTTGGAAGGTAAACCTTCTTCCCATTGACAACTTTCTGGCAGAGGGCAGCAGATTTTCCTCAAGAATTTGACAGTATTTTGCCCCATCCATTTTTCCTTCTATCCTGACAAGTGCTCCAGTCCCTGCTGCAGAGAAACACCCCCATAACAGGATATCACCACCTCAATGCTTTACTGTAGGAATGCCGTTATTTGGATGGTGAGCTGTATCGGATTTCTGCTAGACATATTGTTTTGGTGTGTAAATAATTAAATTTTAGTCTCATCTGCTTCAGAATCTTTAAGGTGTGTTTTGTCAAAACTCAGTCATGACTGCATGTGGCCTTTCGTGAGGAGAAACAAGCCACAATCGTGGAGAATTTGTGATATTGTTGTCACATGCACACTAAGGCTGTCAAACCCCCCCCCTCCAAATTTTGAATATTCGTCGAATAAAAATAAAAAAAAAATCCACATTCAAATGTGAATATAATTTAGATATTTTGATAATATTTAAGTGGAAAATTTGAATTTAGTTTTTCAGTCATTTTGACAGCCCTAATGCACACAATGACCACTCTTTGTCAAATTCCTGCAACTGCTTCGGAGTTGCTGTAGGCCTCTTGGTAGCCTGTCTGACCAGTTTCCTCCTGCTCTTTCATCCAGTTTGGAGCGATGTCCTGATCCAGGGAGAGTCTGTGTTGTTCCAAATACCTTCCAATTCTTAATAATAGACTTCACTGTGCTTCTAGGCATTGATAAAGCCTTTGAATTTTTTTTGTATCCATCTCCTGACTTGTGCCTGTCCACAAATGTATCCCAGAGATCTTTGGCAGTGCCTTGCCACCCATAGTTGACTGTTTGCTTCAGTTGTATTACCAAGGACTGAAATGTTCCAGGAAAGCTCTTTTCATGCTGAGCTAATCAAAATGACCACAGCTGATCACAGTTGAA